TAGTGCGCCAGGCGCGACGCCTCGCCGGCGATGCGCTCGAAGATGTCGTTCACGAACGAGTTCATGATGCCCATGGCCTTGGACGAGATGCCCGTGTCGGGGTGCACCTGCTTCAGCACCTTGTACACGTAGATCGAGTAGCTCTCCTTGCGGCTCTTGCGTCTTTTCTTGTCGCCCTTCTTCTGCGTCTTGGTCACTGCTTTCTTGGAGCCCTTCTTGGGCGCGGGYGCTGATTTCGCTGGCTCAGGCATTTTACTAAACAAGAATCACAACTGGAACCCCGCTGGTGAAACACCAACTAGAGAGATAACAGCAGTAGTCGATAGTGGCCTTTATAAACCCTGGGTATGCAAAATAGTTGCGCTTAGGTCGCGCCTTGCTAGTGGCCAGAAGTTGTAGGGCGTGTCATTACTGCACACTTAGCTATGTTATTGGCTATCGCTCGATCCGCCTTGCTATTGGCTGCCCGGACAAGGCCAACTTCTCAGCCTATCAGAGAAGTCTAAACTTGTCCGCCCTTCCCGCATATATAGGGGTAGCCTCGGTTTAAGAGCGCTATCGCTCTAACAGCGCTAGATTTGAGACCGCAGGAAGCAGACATGTCTGGCCGCGGGAAGCAGGGCGGGAAGGCGCGCGCCAAAGCCAAGTCGCGCTCGTCGCGGGCCGGGCTGCAGTTCCCCGTGGGCCGCGTGCACCGGCTGCTGCGCAAGGGCAACTACGCGGAGCGCGTGGGCGCCGGCGCGCCCGTCTACCTGGCGGCCGTGCTGGAGTACCTGACGGCCGAGATCCTGGAGCTGGCGGGCAACGCGGCGCGCGACAACAAGAAGACGCGCATCATCCCGCGCCACCTGCAGCTGGCCATCCGCAACGACGAGGAGCTCAACAAGCTGCTGGGCAAGGTGACGATCGCGCAGGGCGGCGTGCTGCCCAACATCCAGGCCGTGCTGCTGCCCAAGAAGACCGACAGCCACAAAGCCAAGGCCAAGTGAGCACYGCCAAGGAACACCCGGGAAGCGCTCCCTACAGAAACCCAAAGGCTCTTTTCAGAGCCACCCACTACGTCATGAAAGAGCTAAATTACTTTTCTTGTAATGGTGTTTTTGTGAATGCTTACGATATTGAAGTTTACTTTTAAATTAATCAGCACCAAAGAGGTCTAATAAGACTAAAACACTTCTTAGCAGTCAGTTGGTTTTAAGAGGGTGAGTTCTCACAGTATTTCACTTGTGTGCTATAGTTCTCATATTCGATTATTTTAAATGGTGAACGAACACTTAGCCCTGTAAAGTAGATCCTAGTCTGCTATATATTCCACTAAGTCTTGACCGGCAGGCGGGGGTAGAGGGTTGAGGATAAATGAACATGAGCTGATCGGTGAAATATGAATTTTTTAAAAAATGTAAGGATGAGTTTAGTGAAACTAAAGACAGCGGTAGACATGTACCTTCACAAAATAACCCGAAGTTTTTCCGCAGAGAACTTCTGTCTCTGAAAAAGAAAAATGAAAAGAAAAAAAATAACAATTAAAGTGGTCTAAATAATTCCAGCTCCTTTTAGGAAAGCTTGGGTGGCTCTTAAAAGAGCCGTTGTTTTGGAGAGCGGACCAAGGGCTTTCGTCCACGGCCGGCGGGAGGGGAAACGGGGGCAGTTACTTCTTCTTGGGCGCCGCCTTCTTCGCCTTGGCCGCTTTAGGTTTGGTCGCCTTGGGCTTGGCAGCCTTGGGCTTCACCGCTTTCGCCTTGGCCGGGCTCTTCGCTGCCTTCTTGGGCTTCGCAGCCTTGGCCGCCTTCTTGGGGCTCTTGGCCGCCTTCTTGGCCGTGGCGGCCGCCGGCTTCTTCGCTTTCTTGGGGCTCTTCTTCACCGCCGCCGCCTTCTTGGGCTTCTTGGCGGCGCTCGCGGGCTTCTTGGCCGCCGCCTTCTTGGGCTTGGCCGCCGCCGCCGCCGCGCGCTTCTTCGGCGCTTTCTCTTTCGTCTCGCCCGGCTTCTTGCTCAGCTTGAAGGAGCCGGAGGCGCCGATGCCCTTGGTCTGCACCAGGGTGCCCTTGTTCACGAGGCTCTTGAGCCCCAGCTTGATGCGGCTGTTGTTCTTCTCCACRTCGTAGCCGCCGGCCGCCAGCGCCTTCTTGAGGGCGGCCAGCGAGAGCCCCTTGCGCTCCTTGGAGGCGGACACGGCCTTGGTGATGAGCTCGGTGACGCTGGGGCCCGAGGGCTTGCGGGCTTTGGAGCCGCCCGCCGCCTTCTTGGGCTTCTTGGCGGCCGCCTTGGCGGGGGCCGGGGCGGCGGCAGCGGCGGGAGCCGCCTCGGCGGCAGGAGCGGGCGCGGTCTCGGACATCGCTCCACTCGCGGTACCGAGCGCGGCAGCAGCAGCGGCCGAGGCGGCGGCGGCCCCTATTTATAGAGGCGAGGCGCGCGCTGATTGGCTGCCGCGCGAGCCCTGCCCGCCGCCGGCGCCCGGCGCTCTGAGCCGCGCGGCTTGTGTTTCTTCCTTTCGGAAAAAGTGATTTTTTGGAGCAAAACCTGCACCCGAGATACCCCATTTCTCTCAGAGTTGTTGCCGAGGACAGGTACTTTCGTCCTGAGGCGTTTCCTCTCTCTAGGAGTCGAAATGAGCTTTAGACAAACCTGTAATCTATGAGTTTTTGTGTTGGAGAGACTTGGGACGAATAGATTTTTTATTTTTCCTTTTAAATTAAAGCTATACTGTTGAGAGCAGTGGTAAGGTGGCAACTGTTACATGTTCCTGAGAGGGTTTTTGATCGAGGTAGTGCAGAATGGAGCTCATACAAAGCCTTTTGGTTAAGGTAAATTGGATTCGAAAAGGAGCAAGTAACACAGGTGGACACTAACGACGCTGTATGTGGCTTATAAACTGCTTTTCATACCAGGACTTCAATTCTTAAAAATAATGAATCCTTTAGCCGTAGTACCCTGTTTAGCTTTACATGGAACATATAAAAAGTAGTAGAAAAATAAATCTCCAGGATGATACAAGTGAAAATTAACATTCTTAAATTAGCTGGTGTGTTCAACATCATTACATAACACTCAGAAGATTTGGTTTGTGTTCTCTATTTATTTTCTTATTTTGAAGAGTCATATAATAATCTTTTTTCTAAGATACATCTTTTAAGTAAGTACAATAATTCTTATGTTTATAGTGAAAATATTTTTTGTATGTGCTTCAATTTTATTGTGCCTGAGGATGTGTTGTCATTGCAAATTAACAGTTGAGTGAAAATCTCAATTCGTGATGTGCATATCTACCACGGAATAAATATTGTGTAAGATTGCACGGCTTTTTTTTTTGTAAATTAAGCCAGAGTAAGAATGTGTCGCAGTCTCTCTTTGGTTGTGCTCAGACAAGGCCACAGTTGAAGAAATATTGAGACAAGAGTTAGTTAATATCCCTCGAGTGAATGCAGGGAAGCAGGATCTCATACTATCAGCATCTCGTACTGTTTTCTATGCTTTGTAAAGGAAATCATGCCGTTTCGGTTTTGGATTTAGTATAAACGTGTCCCTGCTTTTTCAATTTATTATTATTATTATTATTATTATTATTATTATTATTATTATTTTATTTATTTTCTTCTACATCACCCTCCTAGTCTGCAAGAGGACATCGAGGGCTCTACAGTCAGAAATAGTATTATGATTGGCTGGTTCTTAATAATGTCTACCTGAGGACACCGAGTGACAATGTGTGTTTCTGTTGGCTGGCTTTTTATATCTCGTGTTCTTTTTGATATAGCAGATGTTATGAGGGCTTTCTGCTTTACGTTTCTCTTAAAATATGAAATGCAACGTTCACAATGTACGGCAATGCAGTGAATTTTCCACTTTTCAACAAATATATATGTATTATATATAACACCATGCATAAAATATTTATATTTATATTTATATTTATATTTATATTTATATTTATATTTATATTTATATTTATATTTATATTTATATTTATATTTATATTTATATTTATCCTCATGGAAACATGAAAACAAGGAGCAGGAGGACTAGTGCCAACATACAATCGACTGTAAATTTACAGCTATATGTGAGCAGTAGAACGACAGGTTAAGAATGTATCTGGAAGGCGTTACTGGACAGACTCAAGTGGAAATACAATGTAAATCCATCTTCACCTTCCAGTTTCTTGATTGCTACTGCAGAAAAGGGCAGAGATATTACCAAGATGTGTGCAAAGAGAGAAGGCAGGATTCAGCTGTTGCTGTATATGTTGCACAGGGGCCTCGAAGGAGAAGTAGATCCCTCTAAGAGTACTAAAGATTCTGTTCCTTTCCCTCAGACCTTATTCTGCTTTTTTTTCCTCACAGCAGATTAATTTTCTCTGTGAAGACAGTTGAGGAAACTGCATAAACCAGGAAGTGAGGCCTGAGAAACCTTCAGAAAACTCTTCTTGTGGGCTCTACTGATCGCTGAGACAGAGCTTTGCTCATTCTCGTGAATTTCCCTTCACTTTTAGGAAATTTGAGCCTTGCATACAGATATAAAGCTTGTGTCACATATACATATAGCCATTTGCCTGTATGTGCCTATCTTGCTTTTATTTTTATATATGTCAGCTCATATTTCGAGCTGTTACTGGCAGATGAGAATAATTTCTAATGGTGAGGGAGACAAATGTATTTTTTTTTCTTTTCCGATTTTTTTTTTCCAAAAAAAACCTCACTTTTTTTGATTTTATCATAAACTGAGTATGTGCAAAAGGAGTGTCCTGAGATGGTTTCAGTATACGTCCACAAACACACAGTACAATGTGGAACAGAATAGGAGACTCCAGCGATTATTTCAGGTTGTTGAAAAAAACAGTAGTCTAGTTTCTTGCACCTTAACTTTCAATAATATAATTGTCACAGAATATCTTATGGAATTTTGGCAGGGGGAAAAAAAATGAAACAGTCATTTTGGAAGGTTTACTACAGCAAGGACACACACGATGTATTTTATTGCCAAGGCATAGAGCAGAGGGGCATTTGAGAGGGGCTTTTGTCTAGAGAAAACCTGAACAGCCGAATGGCATCACATGCAAGAGCACAGCAATAAGAACAGAAGACAATTACACAGATTTTAAGCCAGAATTTGTACTGAGACTATATTTCAAGACTGTTGCCCTCATTGGCCTCACTGCTGATTGGAGTTAGTTGTTTGTATATGATTTTACCTCTGAATTGGAGCTGTTTTCTTTTGCTCAAATATTTAGAGCATATATGAAGGATATATATGTTTTTAAGTTTTATCTTTTGTAATTGAAGTTTGATTTAGGCTTAGGAAAGGGAGGAAATGCAAAGAGATCTTGCAAATATTGTCAGGTGAAGGACAGGAAGGAAGAAATGTATATATATATATATWTTTTTTCAATGTATCCTTTAGTTGCCCTAATGTGATTTTACAAGGTTTTCAAGCCTTATCATAAAATCCTGAAACGTGACATATTCCTTGAAAGATAGGATGACTTTTGCCTTCTGTTTTTCCCTCAAAAATACCAATCAAGCAAAGCATTTATAGCTAGCAAATAAGTAAACAAACCGGCAAACAAAAGTAGTAAGAATGTAACGTAAATGTAATTCTGAAGCTAAGGAATATAAGTGAAGAGGACAAGATCTTGAGACACCTTTCGACAAGTATTTTCAAGTGTGGCAAAGAAGAAGCAAGAAGGAAGGGTCTAACCCAAGGCAGAGTGGTTGTTCGGTGGGAGCAGTGACTGGATGCACAGGCGGAGCTTGCATGAATCTTGCCCGTACGCAGCTAATTCGGCAAAAGCAGCATTTCTTGCTCTATATTGCAAGGCCAGTGTTGGGGCTTGCATCTCCTGAAGCAGCTTCCCAGTATCTGTGTGTCGGCCTAGGCGAGGGAATTCGATTCTGTGTTAAGACCTGAAAACACCAGGAGTTAGGAGCGGTCCGGACTGTCCCGGTGCCCCTGTGGAATGTTCCTGTATGAGCGAGCACTTCATGAGAACAAAGAGGTGCTAAAATCCCCGCTCTGAGATGTGCAAATTCTTCGTCTCGAGTGCTTACTCACTTTCTTTGACCTTAGATTAGTCAATTCACCCCCCGAGGCAGGCAGGAGGTCAGTTTGCTCATTTTCAGCTCTCCATCCAAAT